GGCGTTTTAGCCCCTTTTGCGGCGCGGTTATATTGACAGAGCGTGCTGATTGGTGGAGAGGACTTGGCGGAGTCCTGGAAAAGGGAGAAAAATCTATGGAACGCCGCTTTCTTCCCAAAGGAGAGAGACACTCAGGCTCTCTGATTCCCAAAAATTTCTCTTTTTTTTCTCTTAGACAATTTCAATTATATAATTATTCTAACTATGTACCCGAATATTTTTTTCTGGTTCCTATTATCCACAGATCTGGTTTCAAAACCGCCGGGCCAGAGAAAAGAAAATGACTTCCGAGGGATCGGGTGGTGCTTCCCGATCTTCATCATCAATGGGTACTGGCGGCGGTCATTCCTCTCCCGACGCAAACGATCTCTTCAATGAAGCACAACCCACCACCACAATCAACACGGATCCACGTAGAAGAATCTCAATGCCAAACCTAACCAACGATAACAACAACAACACCATCTTGGAATTAAACACAATCCCCTCCGAACCAGTTCAAATTCAAGTCACTTCATTAGTTATCGGAACCTGGCGACGATTCTCCAAAAAACAAAATGACCTGGTTTGTATCTTATCACCATTAGAATCAATCCTACGATGGACCGTCACCGAATCCGGATTCAGTTTCAAAATGGAAATGCCATTCTCGGCATTGGTAGATGCTAGTATTGATCCTATTGATTCTAAACATTGTTCACTTACCATCGATTTTAATATGATTCCCTACTTTGCTAAGGAGGTTCATATTGCTACTGCACCAAATTCAATGGACCCTTCATCAACACCTGCACAAACTACAACAACAACGGGAATCTTTGTCGCGTGTGATGATTTCACTGAATCTCGTCAAGCATCTTCTGTTTTTAAACATGTGTTAACTGGTCCTTCTGAATCTATCGAAAGAGCTTTTGCAGTGTTAACTGCAATCTCGCAATCCTCACATACACATGCGTCATCACAATTATCTGCTCAATCAGTACCAACTCCGATTAACCAATCTGCAAGATTCTTTGTACAAACTCCTATTCCTCAAAGTCCTTTCACTCCAAGTGGACAACCTCAAACTCCGTTTCCGGTAACTCCTTATTCTTCGTCAACATCTCAAATGTTACCTCCAATTCCGTTTCCTCAGCAACAACAACCTCAACAACAACAACAACCAATGACAATGTCAATGATGCCAATGACAATCTTGTCACCAATTAATACTGCACCTCCTCAACCATACCTCCAACAACAAAATTCATCAAGTTCGAATTTCCGTCCACCGTTTCCAATTATTACAAGTTTCCAACAACAACAACAACGTCATCATCTTGATAATATTGATTCTGGGTCTGCTTCTACTGCAACTACAAACCAAACGCCATTTACGCCATTCAGCAACAACAATCAAAAATATGGTAACAATAACATGAATCAATCTTCTTCATCGTTAACTCCTGTTACGTTGATGACGTTGTCACTCTCGACTCCTTCGGCGATGTTACCTCCTGTTCATGAGAATCAGAGTAATGGTGGTAATACTGGGTTTTGGTCTACTGCTCCTGGGCAGAGTAATAATGGTGGTGGGTCAGATGGTCGTGTCGATGGTAATGGTGTTACTACTACGACTGCTAGTACTACTGGTACTGTGAATGCTGGCGTTCCTGCTACTGGGAATTAAGTTTTCTTTTTTTGCTGTTGTTCTTTGTTTTTTTTTGTGTTGTCGGTTCCTTCGTTTTGACTTTTAAACGCTCTTTAGCTTTGTTATTTTCTGTTTTGTAAAACTGTATGTAACTGTTCTTTCTATGTTTCCAATTTAGTTTGTTTGGTATTCTTCTATGTTTTCATTTTGTTTGTTGTTCAAGTTTTTTTGTTTCTTGTTTGTTTGGTTAATTAAAACCCTTTAGCTCTCGTTCTTGCCTCTTGTTTCGTCAGTTTTCTCTCGTCTATCAGTTGCTCGACATTTTGTTATGCATCTTCTGTTTATTATTTCCTATTGTGAAGTATATGCATTTTGTTTATTTTCATTTTGGTTTTACTTTTAGTCATTATTTAGTGCCCCGTTTCTTTCTTTCTTCATTCACTGTACATACCTTTTTGGGCTTTGGTTTTTTTCACAACCAAACCCTGAAGAAAGAGCGCTGTTGCATTATTGTTTTGTGTTCGTGTTGCTATTCACCCGTCACTATCCATTTTTATCAACTTTTCTTTTTTGCACAAAGAATCCCGCATATGTATGTATTACAAAACTCTAAAAGAAGAATAAACACACGCTGGTCGTTAACTCTTTTGTCAAATGTTTGTGTGGTCTGGGATGTGGAAAAGATCGGGGGGTGGGCAAGATTGGAACCAGTAGGTTCCACTACGACTAATCTTCGACATCGGCAAGATTTGAACTTGCGCGTGGAAACCACAACAGATTTCAAGTCTGTCGCCTTGGGCAGCTTGCCACGATGTCCTGTTGGGAATGTTCGGCCACGATGTCCTGATGGGAATACGAGAAATCTGGAACCTCAGATTTTGATTTAGCACTCCATATTCGTCAATTGGCAAAGTCGTGTGAACTGTGTGTGGTGGTTTGAAAATTTTTGCAACTAGAACGAATATTAAGTCCCATTATCGCGTGGTTTTAAGTAAAGTAAATGTATTTGTAAAATTGGGGTACGTGTGATCAACGTGTCGTAAGAATATAAGAACAGCAAAAACAACTTTTACAATTGAACCCCTTTTTTTTGTTTGGACAATTAATTGCGACTGCAAAGTCTTGAATTGATGTTCTGACTGTTACATCGATTTTCGTTGTTCGGTCCATATCATACAGCAAAAGTTCAAGAACTATAAATATTATATACCCACGCGAACAAATGCTATATCAGTTTATTCATTCTTATTGTAGGTAGTTGCGAACATTAACCGTTTGAACCGCAAAGTCATGAATTAGCCCAAATTTCATTAAAAATTGTTCTAATTGGGATTTACAATGATTTTCATTGTTCGTTCTAGCATTTCGAAAACAAATACCTACGATGAAAAATGGTAAGCTATTAAGTCAATCCGCTTTTTAAATTACTTTTCCTATTACTTCTGAATAACCCTCATGCAATCAACACAACCTCCAACCCAGCCCCTGCCATCACAACATGAACTTTCATCCCATCATCATTTCATTCATTTGATACCTGTTCAATTATTGGGATCGTCACCGCCGCTTACATTCTGATCGCGTCTTATTCCATCAATAGCAAAATAAGCCAAGAAAACACCATTAGAATGAAGGTTTATTTGCCAATTCACACTCACGACTAAAGAAAAGAAAACGAGAAAGTAAAAACAGAAAAGAAAAGGAGAAAAGAAAAAGAGATAAAAAACAAAATGCTGCGACACACTTAAAAAACCCCCAAAAAACCGTTGCGTAAATGTTTTTAGTCTAAAATCTACTATTAGAACAAAACATGTAAGTACCAATCATCTTATATTTAACCGCAACACGAAATCCAACAAGCCAAAAAAAAACGAAGAAAAGAACTCGTTAAAGTTCCCAAAAACGAACACCAAGCATCATAATGTAACACCTTCAGTGAAACAGAGGGCCAACGAAGCTGTCATGATCACACAATCATTTTCTCTCACTCCGCAGGTAAGTACAGGATGTTTATCCTGTTGTTGTGGTTTTTGTGCTTGTTGTTGTGGTTGTTGTGGTTGTTGCTATGGTTGATGTGGCTCTACATTTAATTACAGGATCTGTTCCTCCGTTAACCCTCTTCAAATTTGCAGCCACATCGATGCTGGAAGTGAAATCAGCCAACCTGTGATTGTGAATGCAACCACCCTTAACAGGCTGCCCCCCGCCAACGTTGTTTTTACACGCGTCGCATGGGGTTCCTTGTATCGACATGGGAGGATTGATCATGTTGTTGATGCAACGATCAATCAAGTCTTTGTAATGAAGCTGCCGTTCGTGGTTTACCCATTTGATAAAGTTCTTTCCGGGAGCGACAAAGCCTTGGAGTTTACCACCTTGACGACTGCTCTCTATATCAGGCACACAGCTTATGCGATTCACATATGTCGCAAAGAGAACAAAATTATTTAATCAGACTGAGACCAGGCGTGTAAAATATGTACATATAGACACTTACAATGTTGATTGAGAGTTGAAGTACTCGTTTTTCCTCTCTTCATCAATCATATAATTGAGAGCATTTGCGCGGCCCTGCCAAATGACAGCGGGATTGCCATTGTTGAAAGGAAACTCCTATTGGTATATTTGTTTTGAAGATAAGATAATATACAGGGGCCATGTTAGGTTTTCTTTCAAAACGTTTTAATTAGGATTGATGTTGCTGGTTACATACATCTGTGGTTAATTTGTGATCCTTGCACCATTTGAATGGGTCCCTATTGATATTGTTTCGAGGTGATATAGAAAGATACGGTCCAAGCTGCCTCCTGAAATTAAAGTTTTTCTTGGGTGATCTTGTGCCATCCTTTTTCTTGCCCCCAATATATCCAAACTCGCCTTTCGCTGTGGGAAAATAGTTGTCTTTGGTGAAAGGTCCATCGTATAAACTTTGAGGAACCAGACCATCAGCGCTCACAGGTTGCCGATTTGACCCGGGTCCCCCTTTCCGAAACATGCCATGAATAAAGTGACAGGGTAGCTGGGCGATCTGAATCAAAAACAAGCAAAGGTTTACTATAACCACGTCACAAAGGTGTATGTTGACAAAACACCCTTCAAACCAGTCTTGTACTCACATCCATTTCGACACAAACGCCTGCCTCACCGCCTACTTGGCATGGTGTGGCAAAATTCGACACTTCATCAGGAAAAATTGTGTCATTCAAGTGCAGGGGGTTGTTTTCAAAGTTTTCTGCCAAGTTTTGTTGTTGTTGTGGTGGTGTGGTGTGCTTGCTTTCAGTTGCTTGTTTAGGTAATTCCATTAAGTTCCCAGTTGAGTTGTGGGGAACGCTGTCAACAGTAAGCAAATCAGTCGATCGTGATTCACTGCGTGTCCATGGGAAATCGAGAAGAAGAGGCGTTCCGTCGTCGCTGAAATACACCGTGTTGTCTGTTGGTACAGTTATTTGGTCAGAAAGTTTGTAATGATTGTTAAATGACCCCTTACCCGGAGTCGATGGCAGGCACAACATATACTTCGACAAATCTATCCAAGGAGCAGTTGAACCTCTTACATTTAACGTTTGATTGAAGTTCTTCCACGTTTGTCAGTTATAGTCACTGCAGGAAACTTCCAACTTTACCTCATCAAAATTCTCATCAACAGCATCAATTTCAATGTCTCGTCTTTGAACAGGTATATCTTTCGAATATGTGTAGTTCCAAATGGATATATCACCCGTATCAAACAAAGTTAGGGCAAAACGCGGCGTTTGGTATCCAAATCCTTCTCCGATTGCGTACAGCTGAACATTTGCACCAACAGAAACATCAGCATCAATACTGACCGAGCCTGCACTCCAATTGCCATTTTGGTACGAAGGGGCTACCAGTGCTGCCGATGCGCTAGCAACTCCATAAATGTCTGCAATCAGACCTGCTTCCCCGTGTATCCCAATTGATGTTGATTGTCCACCAAAGATGTCGAGAGCAATATACAAGCTGGGAGTTATATCGGCCTAATATTGGAGTGTGTTTTGTTAAAAGACAAAAGTGGAGTGCACTAAGTTAACTTGCAGTGCCTACATGCTAAACGCAACATTACCTTGACTATGCCTTCCAAAGTCACACCAGCATTAAAAGATGGCCCCGAAGCTTTGCCTGGTGTGGTGGAAGGATTGATCGGTAAACTTGAAAAATTGGTCCCTCCGTCGCGATGATCAAATCCCCACATTACATCTATAGGGGGGAGACTGTAGGAGTATTTCAATTCAGACGTAGCATGAAGTTCAAAGTTGGCCGTAAAGCTGGAGTCGACTTTCACATAGGCACCTGCCAAAAGGATATTTGGAACTCCAAAGGGGGCAATGAGAGGAAGTTGCGGTAATATGGGAACAGTGACGCCGTAAGAGGCTCCTGCGCGAGCATCGAAGTTTAGTCCAAGGTCAATCTGTGTGTCGGCTATGTACAGGTAATGTTTGAAAAAGTGCAATTAAGTTTTCTTTCTTACGCATAGGAAATTGAAAAAGTCAAATCACAGTCAATAGCAAACCTTTCAAAAATGCAATTGCTGCTGATACAGTTGGCGGTGCAATGGTTCCTACAACTCGAAGTCCCATCATACCATTGATAGTACATCCCAACCTGGCGCTCACGTCAATAGTGGAAGTTTGCTGACCTTCAGGACACATTTTTGCGCCGCCAACAATGGGAATCTTAAAGTCATCGGTTTTATAGGCAATGGGCTGATTGAGGTTGCCAGTGTCGACATTGTTCCAATAGTCATACCAACACTTCATATCGTACCAAGCACATCCGCGCCGCATGAGCCTTTGGTGAGAATTGTCGTTTGCAACAAACCTTTCGGGCTCTGGCCATGAATCTCTTCGTATAAGAAATCCATTGGCATCAAATGCGGACTGCAGGTCGGCGCGATTCTGTTCGTCATCGTTTTCCAATATATTTTGGTCTGGATGCATCTGTTTTTGTGCATATGAATGAAGGTAAATGCAACATGTCAAGTCTAGATCTCAATTTTACATTTTAAGTGGTTATAACCAACCTCAATCACGAAAGCAACCGTTTCTGAAGTGTGTCGTTTTGCAAAGTTTCCATTTTTGCGGTTGTTATAAGCTCCCCAGTCAAAATTGAGTTCAACCATCTTCACGGAGTCTTGTGTGGTTACGTGGTCTTGAAGCGCAGGGACTTCAACGACAGATTCTACCCTTGCAAAGTATCTGCCAACATGTAAATAATGAAAATACAAAAATCTCGTTATGTTAATCAAAACGTCAAAAATGGCTGCGTGTATAAAGGAAACAGACTTACCCGCCAGCACAATTTTTGTGCAAGGAAATGATAGCGTGTACTTGCACAAAGTCGTACATTGTTGAGCAATCGGATGTTGCATTGGTGTGATGGCAATACAGGTAGACCTGCAAAAGAAACTTCGTTAACATATGAACAGTAATTGTTAGGAGATTGAGCTTTACCGTTTGCGGTATTGCGTCTGTTGTGCAATTGTCAATGACCAAACCCGTTTGGCTGATTTCCGGAACAATTCGAGTGGGATCGATTGCAGACCTTCTGCGTGCCACAGTGACAGATGTAGGCTCAACACCCAGTCGATCGGATACATCCAGAACCTGATCTGCGGGACCCTGTAATTGGAAGTATATAGGAAATGCGTTAAAAACGCAATGAGGATTGAATGATATATTTTACGACACCACTTTACCTCGCAGTACATAGATGCGTAAGATGGAGAACCAGCAGATTGAGAATTCACTGTAATATCCTTGTAAACTGCAATAACATCCGACCAAACACACTGTCCATCAACGCATTCGCTTAACGTTTGACAT